AGCACTGATTGCTCTTCCAGAGGTCCTGAGTTCAATTCCCCGCAACCACATGGTGGCTCACAACCATCTGTAATGAGATCTGGTGCCCTCTTCTGGCCTGCAGTCATACATGCTGTATACATAATAAATAATTAAATCCTTAAAAAAAAATTGAACTTTAATGACTCCCCAAAAACATATATCCATATGCAAATACTTTCTTTTTTTTCCTTTTTTTATTATTAAGAAATTTTCTATTTTACATACCAACCACAGATCCCCCGTCCTCCCTCTTCCTGCAACCCCTCCACCTTCCCTCCTCCCCCAAATGATTTTAAAGGGAAAGCACTTATTTCACTCATGATTTCAGCTCATAGTTATCTGGTGCTGTTGTCAGGAGGACACGGTGGGGCAAAAAGCAAGGGACAGGAAAGGGTTAAGTAATGCTATCGTATTATGAATCCAGTGAGGGATTAAACCACTGATTGAGTCAGAGCCGTTAGGAACAGCACCTCTCAGTGATTTGGTCCCCACTTCTTTGGAGGATATTTCATATTCAAACCACATTTTCTTATAAAAGTCCTATAATTTTGACTTTTAATTTTAAGTCTTTAATCTGTCTTGTGTTAATTTTTGTATATAATGTAAGGTAACAAATGGTCCAACTATTCTTTTGTACGTATTTAATTTTCTAACTATGTTTTAAATGTACATATTTGTTCTTGTCTCTTTCCTTCCACTGTAACGTAAGCGTTATCAAAGCAGAGTAAACAGTTTCTGTCACTGGCTAGTTATGGTAACAAGTCACCCTGACATTTAATGTATTAAAACAACAAGAAACACGTATTTACCCTTAAAGTTTCCAAGTCAGGAATTGGGCATCAGCTTTCTGATTCCTTCTTCCTCCTGAGATGCAGCCAGTTTGGGGCCAGGACTGGGTCTGGTTCCAAAGTGACTCATTGACACAGTTGACATTTTTTTTTAGATTTATTTATTTTATGTATATGAGTGTTTTGCTTGCATGTATGTCTGTGTACCACGTGTATGTGTGTGTGCTGAGGATGTCAAAAGAGGGAGAGAGATCTCTTGGAACTGGAGTTATGCTTAATTGTGAGCATCATGTTGGGGAATTGAACCAGATTCTCTGCAAAAAACCCAACCCAAACCAAACCAAAACAACAAACAACAAAAAACCCCAACAATCCCAGCACTCGGGAGGCAGAGGCAGGTGGATCTCTGTGAGTTCGAGGCCAGCCTGGACTACAGAGCGAGATCCAGGACAGGCACCAAAACTACACAGAGAAGCCCTGTCTCAAAAAACAGCAACAACAAAAAACAAACAAACAAACAGAAACAAACAACCAACAAACCAAGTGCTCTAAATTGTTGAATTGTTGAGCCATCTCTCTTAGCCCAGATTTTGAATGAAAACAAGATTATCTTCAACATCTCTGTATGTGGGGCACACATGCTGTGGTATGCATATGGAAGGTCAAAGCACAACTCTGGGAGTCAGTTTTCTCTTTCCACAGTGGGGTCTGGAGAGGACTGGGGTCGTCAGGATTTCCTGGCATTGCCTTTACCCGCTGAGACATCTTGCAGGCCTGATTGTAAAATCTGATGGGATCTCTGCATGTTCTTTTCTCACAGAGCAGGTCCCATGTGCTGAACCTAAAAGAACAGGCTGAAAAGTACAATAACCCTTACCCTCATCCTTCTGCCATGTTTCATTTGTCATAAAGACTATCTTTCATTCCATGTGAGAGACACTATACAAGGATATGAATAATGGGCAACAAAGATTACTAAAGACTGCATTAGAGTATGTGTGTCATATGTATCTAATCCCAGTGGCTAAAAAAATGCCTAGTGTAGCATATTAAAAATATTTGGTTGGGCAGTGGTGATGCTTGCCTTTAATCCCAGCACTTGGGAGGCAAAGACAGGTGGATCTCTGTAAGTTCCAGGATAGCCTGGTTCCAAAGTTAAGTTCCAGGACAGCCAGAGCTGTTACAGCTGTTGAGACAGAGAAACTCTGTCTCAAAAAATGAAAAAAAAAAAAAAAAAAAAAAAAAAAAGGATAGGGGCTGGGGAAGTCGCTCAGTTTGTAGAGTGCTTGCCCAGCATGTGTGATGCCCCGGGTTTGATCCCCAGCACTGCATAAACTAGGTGTGGTAGCTCAGACCTGTTATTCTAGCATTTGAGAAGCGGAAGCAGGAGGAGCAGAAGTTTAACATCATCCTTAGCTACATAATGAGTTAAGGCCTGACTGAGCTACATGAGACTGTGTTTCAAAAATCAAAACTGTAAGTGTTACAGCTCTGAGCGGAAAGGTATCCTGATAGTCAGGAGCCAAGAAATACCACAAAGTTACACTGCACAACAAACCTCACGTGAGACTTATTGGAAAAGACACAAGAGGGTGACTGCTTCTGCTTGGATGAGAAACAGCAAAGAACTGAACAGGAGACAGACTTTATATAGGGCTTCGTGTGTGTGTGTGTGTGTGTGTGTGTGTGTGTGTGTGTGTGTGTGTGTGTGTGTGTGTGTGTGTGTGTGTAGTTTTCCAGGGTGGGGATTGGTGGGATTTCAAGTCCTGAACTTGGGGCAAGCCAGGGATTGGTGGGTTTTAAAAATTCAGAAGTGAGTTTGGTTACTCTATAAAAGCCAAACCAACCAACCAAACAAACAAAAAAGCCCATAGTGAGACCTCATCATAAAACAAAAACAACAACAAATAAAAATTACAAAAAATAAGCCCGGCGGCAGCGGCGGCGGCGGCACCAGCGGCACACGCCTTTACTCCCAACATTTGGGAGGCAGGTGAATCTCTGAGTTCAAGGCCAGCCTGTTCTACAAAGTGAGTTCCAGAATAGCCAGGGATACACAGAGAAACCATATCTCAACAACAACAACAAAAAACCAAAAAACCAAAACCAACAAAACACCCCCCCCCATGCACACAAAAAATCAAAAATAAATAAATAAAATAAAGAGTGGATTAGTGAGCCATTTAAAGGTTGTTGGGACGTTTATGGCACTGAACAAAGAGAAAAGCAAGGAAAGCTTGGAAAGAAACTGTCTGGAACCAGGTACCTTGTGCTGTTTTCTGTCTGTTTTGCTTCTGTAAGAACAGCTAGGACCTCTGGGATCACATCCTTAGCTTTTCCTAATGAGAGGACAAGGAATTTTTTGTTTCTAGCTGTGGTTTGCAAACCTTCAGAATAAGAATCTCCCAGGCTTATTTCCTAGAACCAGCTGGCGTGGACAGGAGCTAAGGTTCTGTATGAGGCAGCAGCACCCATGACAAGCACACAGAAGGGATGTAGACAGATGAAATAGCACAACTCAGGTGCTGGAGAGATGGCTCAGAGGTTAAGAGCACTGACTGCTCTTCCAGAGGTCCTGAGTTCAATTTCCAGCACCCACATGGTGGCTCACAACCATTTGTAATGAGATCTGGCACCCTCTTCTGTATACATAATGAATAAATAAATCTTAAAAAAAAATAGTACAACTCTCTCTTCCAGGGGAGGTGCTCCTCTTCTGTATTTCCCCACCATATTAATCTCCATATTAGAGAACATACATACTTTTATCCATTTATTTGTCTTTTACAAAATATTTATTTATTTTATTTGTATGTGATTCATGTTTTGCCCGAGTGTATGTCTGTGTATTATGTAAGTGCAGGAGTCTGTGGAGGCCAGAAAAGGGTGTCAGAGTCCCTGGAACTGGTCTTACAGGTGGTTGTAAGATACCATACGGGAAATGTAACCTAGGTTCTCTGCAAGAACAGTAAGTGTTTTTAGCCACCTAGCCATCTCTCCAGCCCCTTCTATTTGTCTTTAATATCAAATTATATTTTCTTATATCAGAGTGTGAACACAGGTACCACATTTTAATAACTCCAAATGACACAGGTTTTATAGTCGAGGGAGACCTAAACTTGGACTCTGTGCTTCCTTTTACTATCGGTGGTGACTGTGGGTCAGCACAGTTTATAGTCAAGGGAGACCTAAACTTGGACTCTGTGCTTCCTTTACTATCGGTGGTGACTATGGTCAGCACAGTTTCCTCACCTTTAAAAAGTTATTTTTGTGTAGGAGTGTTTTGTCTGCACATCATGTGTATGCCTGCTGCCAGAGGAGGCTAAAAGAGAGTGTCAGGTGTCTCCTGGGACTGAAGTTACAAGAGGCTGTGAGTGGCCGTGTTGCTGGGAATTGAATCTGGGTCCTCTGAAAGGACAACCAGTGCTCTTAACCACTGGGCCACCCACCACTAGAACACAACCTGAGAATGGCCATTTTGTGTGAATGCTTGTAATATTATTACATTATTATAGAGCTGAAAATGTAGTCACTACTGCCCTTTCTCTTAGGAAAGTGTTTGGCACAGTTGAACAGCATATAGATACCACACACACACACACACACACACACACACACACACACACACACACATTCATACATCTTCAACAAGTTTATTGGGGTAATTACAGAGGAGCATGGGTGACTTAAAGGTAGCTAAAACATCAGAACTTCCCTCCTCACACACAGACCTTTACAGGCATCTTCAACATCAAAAGCCCTACTTCAGTAAATAGTTTATGTCTCATGTCATTTCAGGAGGGGTCACATGGGCACTGGTGAAGGATGCTGAGCCTCTCAAGCCCCCTCTTCCTTCTAGGGGGAGAGACTCACAGAGACAGGGAGAGACACAGAGAGTAAGTGAATAATTTTGTCTGAGGTTAAAATCCAAGCTCAGAGTAACAAATTAGAGAAGCCTCAAGCCAGCACCTCAAAATTGGCACCTCAGACTTGATCATTCTGACACAAGTCAAAGAAAGAAGGGAGGGAGGGGGAGGGAGGAAGGGATGAGGAGAAACGGGCATCTGTTAGCATGCCTAGATTCTCAAAAGGCTTTGCTTTCCTAATCCTCCACATTCCCAGCTTCCCTTAAAGTTACTGCCTCACAGACTACAGGCTGGAGCTGAAAGGGTGTTAAATGGGTGGAACCCAGTGGCAGCATCGATGTAAACACTCCCTATGAGTCAGCTGTAAATTCAATTCAAATCCCCAGTCTCCTTGTCTTCCCGGCTCATCATGGTTACCACCAAAATGACTGCTGCTTTTAGAAACCCTAATAGGAGACAGGTAAATGTCTAAAAATGTTTTTTTTTCCCTCTCTCTCTTTTTGCTATAGTGCTTGTGAAAATGCAATTATTGCAGCAGGGAATTTCAATTTTTACTGAATTGGAATTTGCATACGTTGCTTAATCTTTAAAGCACAGTAGCAGTTGGTGAATATGTCTTCAGTTTTATTTTAAGAATATTATCTCATTGTACTGTGGCCATTCACGTAAGCAACCAGGAGTTATATAAAGTGGTAGGTTTAATTCCACACCTTCAAGAGAGGTGTTTTAATAATTAGCTTTTATACTTCAGTAGCTTCTTTCCCTGCTGTTATTGGCTGCTGGTATTTATTCTATTTATTCAATGAACAGAGGCCCACTTTTTCTGTTTAGGCTCCTAATTTCTCACACGGAGAGAAAGATTAGTCAAGGAAAATGGTTGCCATAATGTTTATTCACAAATTCTAGCAATGTTGACAGTTGTTTCTTTCCTTACTTGCTCCTTCTGCTTAAGAATGCAGGCCACTAAAAAAACGAGGTTAATTTTCCTGTAAGGTTATGAGGCATGGTGGTACCTGCCTGGGAAGCAGAGGCAGGAGGATTAGTTCATCAAGGTTATCCTCAGTTACACAGTAAGTTTGGGGCCATCTGGGTTGTATATGGCTCTATCTAAAAATACTATACAGCAACAGTGGTTTTGTTTTGATGGAAATGAAGACAGGGCTAATTTACATTGAATAAATTTTGTCCCTGGTGTTACCAACACAGACCATTTCATGTGAAGTAGAAGCATATCTCTCAACACATCTGTCACTGGGGACTTAACTTTTTATTTTTCGGGCTTCCTTCCTTTGTGGATGATGTGTGTCTATGAGTGGTAAATGCACGTGAAAGAGAGCCGCTGCGCACACCAGGGGGTCAGAGGTCAGCTCCCACCTTGTGTGTGGGGCTGTGCATTCCAGGCTAGCTGGTAGGTGGGCCTTCTGGGTGACCCTGCATCTCTGCTTTCCATCTCAGAGCAGAAGTTCAGGGATTACAGATGCATGCCGCAGCTTTTTGTGTGGGTCCCAGGGATGCAGGCTGTCGGGCCTGTGTGGCTAGTGCTATATCCACTGAGCCGTCTCCCTGGCTGGGCTCTCAGCTTTAACCGGCTGATGAGGAAACAGAAATGTACAAGATTAAAATCCAAATGAGTAGCATGTGGTAGAGTCAGGATTTTTTTTTTCTAATTCAGAGTCTTTTTAATATTTGCACTGGTACTTTGTGACTTTGGAAAACAGCAATTGCAATAACTACCACTTGGTGAGTGTTTACGTGCCTTGCATATTCATTCCACTGAATGATCAGTTCAGTGCTTAAGTAGATATTAGTAACTGTTTTATGGAATAGAAGAGGTTAAACATACTTTTGCCAAGTATGCTTAAAATTGTAGATTACAGCTTCCAGTCATTTGCTGTATGAAACATGGAAGTTACTAGTTCTCAGAAAATTTGATAGTTTAAGTGCAATTACTAATTATAGTTGCATCAAATTTTATCTTGCTTTAAAACAGATACTTGAGGAAGTCAAGAAACAAATAGACTTCTTTTATCAGGTGAAGTAGAAACTGGCATGGTATTGGTGTCCTATTTGGTGGTATGCTTTCAAAAGCTGTTGTTTTGTTGGATGGAGTTTAAAGATAGAGATAAAGTGGGGCTGGGGCTATAGCTCAGCAAGCAATGTTCTTAACCCTCAAATGTGAAGACTGATGTTCAGATCCATAGAACTGAGTGGCTAGGCAGCTTGCCCATAATTCCAGCTCAGAAGGCCAAGACAGGATCCTGGAAGCAAGCTGGCTAGCTGGATTAGCTGAATCAGAGAGCTCTAGGCTCAACCAAGAGACTTTGCCTCAATTATTAAGGAAGAGGGTGGTTGAAGAAGTTTCCCAATAATCAGCCTCAGGCCTCCACATGCATCCACACACATGTACACACCCATGTGAACAGGTGCATACACAGGCACACAAACCACATAGACACATGCAGAAAGAGAGGGAGAGGAGAGGAGGGAGGGAAGAGGAGGGAAGGAGAAGAGAGGAGGAGAGGAGAGAGTCAAAAGGTGGCCACAAGAGTGTGTGCCTTGCAGCACGTTTTCCTAAGGTGATGCTCATGTCTTACAATCAGTGGATGTGTGGTGAAGGTAGGGTGGTAAAGCTGCAGCCATTTTTAAAACTGCAGTAAGTGGAGAGGCCCCAATTTTGTGCCATGAGTATCTTAGATTCCTGTTGTGGTAAGTGAAGAGCCTAATGAGGCATGCTGTAACTCTTTCAGTCTGAGCCTTCATTTTTTTCCCAAAGCAAAACGTTTTGACCACTATCTGGGACTCTTGGTGGCGTGTCTTCCTCTTCCTCCTAGAACAGTGCCACAGATATAACTTCCAACAGACAGCAACGTGCTGTGTCTGTGGGCTCCCGGCCACAGGTGCTGTTGCTGCACTTGGAATGTGTGAGTGTGACTGAGAATCTGAAACTGTTGAGATGTGGCTGGTGGCTCTCATGGCCCCCGAATTAGACAGTGCAATCTTAGAATAGAAATGAGTGCCCTGCTTTTCTAAGGAAACTCAAATGCTAGCTGCTCAGGGTGACGATGGTGTTCACTGTGGATTTGACCTTGCTGACGAGTTCTGCCTCTGTACCTGGGGTGACTTGACCTCTCTGAAGAATGCCTCCCTTGTTTTCTTTGGTGACCAATGGGTCTCATGTGGCCAACTTGAACACCTTCCGCAGTTAGCATCATGGTTTTCTGTGACTTAACCCTTGGCAGGTTAGAGGAGTTTCCTTCCTAGATAGTGACCTAAATCCATGCTGAGAGTATGCAGTATGGAACACAGAGAGCTTTGAATTGCTGACTGAATTGGCTGTAAATGAAATGGCCTCTGAAGACAGTGCTGCTGCCCACTGCCACACTTCCTCTGTCTCCTCCATGTGGGCATCTAGACTAGCCTCTGGAGTGTAAGCGGCAGAGTGGCAGGAGCAGAGGTGGTGTCAGAGTAGAAGTCACACAGTGGAATATCACTTACCAAAGTGCCTGAGCACTCGGTAGTGTTAGAATTAGCAATTAAAGTAGGGCACTAAAGTGTAAGCTCTTCTACCAAATAAACTGGCACAACTGGGGCAAGAGAAAGAACGGCACAAGCCAGCGAGAGTGCCGGAGCGCTGGAGCCAGTGGCCCTCTTCAGGACCACTATTTTGAGATCAGTATCTCAAAATAATTACATGGCAACATGCTGAGCACAGTAAGCTGTACCTCTAGGGCTGATATGTTTTTACTGCATTCAGTTTTGCCTTTTCTGGAATTTTGCGTACATGGAATTGTACACTATATATCCTGTTGCCATTCATTTTAAAATTGATAATTCATTCACATACTTAAAGATGGAAAAGTACTATTTTAAGCCTTTTGGGTATTTGTGAAAAAGTCCTCTTCCCATCACTGGAAATGCTTCACTCCTTATTCCCCCGTCTTCCGCTTCTGAAACAACCAGTGTTAATAGTTTCATGGAGTCCACAGCTACAGCTATCCTTTTGTTTGTTTTTTCGAGACAAGGTTTCTCTGTGTGTAGCTTTGGTTTTCCTGGATCTCGTGCTGTAGACCAGGCTGGCCTCTAAATCACAGAGATCCGCTTGCCTTTGCCGCCCGAGTGCTGGGATTAAAGGTTTGCACCACCATTGCCTGGCATAGCTTTCTTTTTTTTTTTTTTTTTAAAGATTTATTTATTTATTATATATACAGAAGAGGGTGCCAGATCTCATTACAGATGGTTGTGAGCCACCATGTGGGTGCTGGGAATTGAACTCAGGACCTTTGGAAGAGCAGTCGGTGCTCTTAACCTCTGAGCCATCTCTCCAGCCCTGGCATAGCTTTCTTAACTGAGAGGTTTGAGCACTCTGTTTTAAATATTATCCAAAGAATCTTAGGACACCCCAACTAAAAGAACTTAAGATCTATTTCTTTTTCTTTCTTTTTTTTTTTGGTTTTTCGAGACAGGGTTTCTCTGTAGCTTTGGAGCCTGTCCTGGACTAGCTCTGTAGACCAGGCTGGCCTCAATCTCACAGAGATCCACTTGCCTCTGCCTCCCGAGTGCTGGGATTACAGGCGTGGGCCACCACCGCCTGGCTAAAATCTATTTCTATAATAACTAGTGTTCTGACTCCAAGTGTGAAAGCGTGACATTACCTGTGACATCAGTCACTTTTTAACTTATTTATTTATTTTGGTTTTTCAAGACAGGGTTTCTCTGTAGTTTTGCGCCTTTCCTGGAACTCACTTTGTTGACCAGGCTGGCCTCGAACTCACAGAGATCCGCCTGGCTCTGCCTCCCAAGTGCTGGGATTAAAGACGTGCGCCACCACCGCCCGGCCACTTTTTAACTTTTTAAGCCATATCTAGTTCAAGTTCTCTAAGCTATGATAGTAGAATTCATTGAACAAATATGAAAATATGACCGCAGATCAAGTAAAACCAACCCCCTCTTCTTATGGAGCCAGGTGTTAAGTAGAAGAATCAAAAATTCCCAAAAGACAACAAAAAACAAACCAAAAAATTCCCAAAAAGAGTCCTGTAATTACCGTTTCCCCGGAAGGTGACTGAGAGGACTAGCAGGGGGGTAGTCAAAGAGCAGAGACCAGGGACCAGGGCCTGGGGAAGATGAGGGCCTGAGCACCTTCCAGGCAACCCGCTGAGAAACTGTTCAGGGTAGAGGTCAGCGTGGCTGGAGAAGGGAGCAGGATGGACCGTGGGGCAGGCAGAGAGGAGAGAGGTGGGCAAGGTGCTTGGCCCTGAAGGGCTGGGTTAGGAGGCTTTGTCTAAGGGAATAACAAGGGACAGGGACAAAGGTCACATGACACAGTATTCGGAACAAACATTCTTCCTGTGATAGGAGGAGATTTAGAGAAGGGTCAGAGGGATGTGGATACATTAGGTCGGCGTCCTTAGAGTCTACCTGCGGACGAGATTAAGTTTGGCTAGGGTGGTTGGTGATGGA